GTGGTCCGAACCTGCCGCGTTACGGGCTGCAGCCTTTTTCCTCGGGAGTCACAAACGACCTTGGTCGAAGGGCCTTTCCTGTCCGTGGAGCCACCATGGTGACCAGGCCTCTGGGCGGCCTGGCCTGGCGGCGCTCAGCCTCTGCCGGGCTCAGCTGGTCCCCTGCGCCCTGCGTCAGCCTCGGGAACACTGACTCCTGCGGCAGTAAGATGGCACAGACCGTGGGAACCATCTGTTGGTTGAGATCAGGAGATAGGTCTGGAAAGTAAGTTTCTTACCCACTCCTGTGGTGACTGGTGTCGCCTCCCACGTTCGCTGCAGCCTCGGCATGACCATCCTACTCAGCGTCCCGCAGTCAGCTGTGGATGCAAAACTCCCTTGAAATTCAAAAAAAAATATTTTTGGGATTCATCTTAAAATGTGAGAAATTATATATGCACTCACCTAAAGCCATGTCTGCAAAAATACTTGTGTCTTTAACCCAACAAGATGTGAATTCATTTATTCAAATGGCAAAATAACACAAATATTTCATGGTTCATTCGATGAGAAATGCCGATTATATCAGTTTTTCGTGGCTTAAAACATGATTTATCAGCAAGTTAGAATTTTAGAAGGTGTGGCAAAAATTGTTAGGCAGTGTTTGATTCAAATGACAGGCCTTCAGGATTTATCGCTCTCCACATTTGACGTAACCCCATCGTGTGTTTCATACCACGTGTCATTTACCAGTTATGTTGACAGACATCAGCGCAGTTCTGGTTTTGCCAGTTCTACTCAGAGCAACGTTGCTCAGTGCTGCTGTGAGCATTCAAGGGTCTCACCAAGGCAGTCAGGCAAGACCATGTGTGACACAGTCTCTGTATGGAAAACCCTAAGGAATCTTCTAAAAATGTATTAGAACCAACAAACAAGTTTAGTAAGGTTTCACGTTATGAGATCAATGTACCAAAATGAATTGTATTTTTATACAGTAGCAATAAACTGTCCAAAAATAGAACTGAGTACACCATTCCATTTACAAAGGCATCAGAAATACAGTCAGTAGTTCATAGTGTTAAAATGCAACAGTATTCCCCAGACTGATCTGTGGCTTTGAGATGAGCTCAGGGAAGCCCAGGGGGACAGCACCAGAGCCGTGGGAACAGGCCTGGCACGTACCTGTCAGGGGTTCAGAACTCCCAGTCTCTTCTTCGAAACCAGATGGGCCGAAGTTATGTGCACATATCACAGTGTATTTTTATGTTAAGTGATGCATAGCAAGTGTTGGGGTCTCCTTTCCGAGCCCTAGGGCGTGTAGCACCGTGAATGTATTGCCACGGAATGAAAGCTCACCAGGGGTCTGAAGTATGCGGTGCCATCTCTGCCTGCCTCTCTCTCCTGACGCTGCTTCCCTGCGTCTGCTTGTGTATCTTTTCCATAGGAAGCCAAAACCACAAGCCCTCAGAAAGTTGACCTCAGGCACCCCTTACCCTGCCTTCCTCACTGCCTCACGCTCACACTAGTGTCTGGCCCCAGCCAGCTGGCAGCCCCAAGGAGTGACTTGTGACCACTTAGACACTGTTCTCATCCCGAGGAGCCAGTGAGCACTCGGGCAACTCACACTACAGAACAGACGGGCCTTCCCTCCTGCTCGCCTCCTTTCTTCCTCCTGGGGTTTGATGTGTCTGCTTTTGTTCAATTAAAAATGCTTAATTGTTCAAAATAGGGTTGCTGTTTTTTAAATGATTGATAGACACACTAGTTTGGGGCAGTGCTCTGCCATGTGATTATAAAGCTGTGGCTCAGTGTTGCAGCTTTGTGCTTGTTGCTTCCAGAACCTGCAAAATGGAGTTTGCACCAAGTAACAGATCTGAACTGAAAGGCAGAGGGGAGACTCTTCATAGAACTAGGCCCCTTCCCATCATTAAAGTTGTTAGACAGGAGCTCAGCATGCTGGGAAGAGACTGCTTGTCCTCACTAGTAAAATGAAAAGAGTGGCAACTCACATTTCAGGAGACTGTCCTGGAGCAGAAGGCTGTGGCGGCAGCCGTGTGTCAGGGAGGGAAGCCACGGTCCTCATGGGCCACCTGGATGCACTCACGTTCTGTTGCTCCTTCTGTCACAGGAACTCTCACCCAGAACGAAATGGTATTTAAGCGGCTGCATCTGGGCACTGTGTCCTATGGGACAGACACGATGGATGAGATCCAGAGCCACGTCAGGAGCTCCTATGCACAGGTAAGCCGCCAGACCTCCTGTGACCCGCCAGGTGCTGGTCTGCACTCTAACAAACTCCTCCCATTGTTGCAAAGCATGAGTGTGTCATTGGTTCTGATTTATAAATCAAGCGGCAGGTTGGGCACTAGTTTTAAATAGGCATCTCTAAACTGTGGAAGCAAACAAGGTGTCATGGCCTTGAATCCTTGCTCATGTTAAATTTTCTTAGCTGTTTGTAAAATTATTTCGCTAACATGGTTAACAAGACTTCTAAGTAGAATCTTCATCAAACATTTCTTATCCCCTCCGTGTTTCTTCATAACTAACGAGACTTCCTCATATGCCCTTTCCTTTCTTCACCCTTTCAGTAAACAGAAGTAGGAAGCACAGTGCTAGACCCGTGTGCCTGGTGTGCACGTCAGCAGGTGCAGTGCACTGTGGGGCTGCTCGCGCTCCACCACCCCTGGTTTTCCAGTGAAACTCCCACACCCCGTTATTCCACCTAAATGTTCAGTCTGGCTCTCTAATAGAGAAGGACTCTTTTATGACGTAACCCAAATCTCGACTTCTCACTGGGCCGCACCATCATGTGAGAGTAATGGTGCTTTCACATCGGGGTGCAGCCTGGCGGTTACAGCCTGTCGTGTAGGCAGCGGGCTCCTGCCACTGAGTCTGGCCTGGGGTCCTGAGATTCCAGGCTTCTGACCATGGACATGGACATGTCGGGGCCAGTGCATGTGTGCAGGTCATGTTGAGGTCTGTGAAGGGTCTGGAGATAGACCATTTTCCAGTGCTTAATTTTTAAGCTCCACAATTTCCATAGCTCTGTTCCCAGGTAGTGTGTTTCCTTCCTTTGGATTTCCTTTTATCTATCCTGTGACTTGGAATCACTGACTCAGAGCATCACACCTAGCAGCCAGGGGAATTGAGGATGCTTGCATGTGAGGCTGCGTCTGTGTCAGGAGTCATTGCTTCCTTGGGCTTTTCCTCTGCCTCTTGCTTGGTTTGTTGTAGAATCGAGTCACCCATGTGATAATGAGCCAAGGTGTGTCAGGGTCAGAGTACACCTCACTCCCCAGGGCAGCCATGGCTCAGTGCACCTTGGTCCTGCCCTGCAGGGCTCCCTCGGGGCCAAAGCAGGCGACTTGGCAGACTCTTAAGTTTGTATCACCCATTTCCACCTGGGTCTGCGCTGACTGCACTGAATGCACTTGCATATACTTTACTTTTGAGATGCTGTCAAATGAAACAGTCTTATATGTGTACATATTTATTAGATGTGTACATGTTTATCGTGTGTACATATTTACCATGTGTGTACATATTTATCATGTGTACATAATTATCATATGCAGAGTTTATACACTTACAAACACACACACATGCACAGATACTCAAAACCAAGCACTTTATTAATTCAGGTGTTACTCATTTCAATAGTGTATTGTAATCCAGAGTATTTATTAATAGAAGAAAAATCTAAAAAGTCTTTTTCCCTCTCCTAGTAACCTGTGTTGGAATTGAAATGGTACCAGGTGATGTCTGTTTCTTTCAAAAATTATTTATATCATCCATGAATATGATTGTAATAACTCTAAATAAGTGATTTTACTGGAAAAAAGTAAAAGCAGAAACAATGTCATTATATAAAAATAGCAAATATTTAATATTTTCCCATCTAAGAGGAAAATTTTTTTTTTTTTTTAAACTAAAAGCTATCTGTTGATTGCTTGGTTAGACGGTACTTTTTATGTGAAATTCACTTTACTCCTTATGTTCTTTATTATTGAGGTGACAGTAGAAGACAGTAGCCTACTAGGTCTGCTGTAATGTGCACGGATCTTTTGTAACCTGGTTATATTTCCCACTGGAAGCACTGGTGGTAGAGGGCACGTCTATAATGGGATTTGTGTGGAATTAAATTATGCAGCCCTCAGCGAGCAGGGCCTCCTGCAGAAGGCGGGCATCGGCGAGTTCTCTGGTATGGGCAGGGTGCGCACAGAACACAGATGTGGGCTGACGCTCGCTGACAGGAGCGCAGCTGAGCGGAGACGTTAAACCCTCCATTAGGCAGCACTGTAATTTGATGGGCAGAGCAGTCACGGTTCAGCGGCTCTGCGCGCCCGTCCAAGGCGGCAGGCTCGGCACTAGGAGGGCCCTCACGGTAACTCTGAGTTCCTGGAGAACTGTTTGACAGTCCTGCGGGGCCAGGGGCGTGTCCCTCCCTGAGCAGGAGGTGGAATGATAAAAGTCACCCGCCTGGCGGGGAGCTGAGTCCCCTGAACGCAGCTGAACGTGGGAGAGCCAAGCAGACACCCACACTAAGTGGGCCGTTACTTCAGGAGCAGGGTTTTGAGAGGAATGCAGGGAGTGTCGGTTACTGTGACCTGCAGAGCTGGGCCCCGGCTCCAGAGACTGCAGCAGGCTGGGTTGATTTACGTGCTCAGCAAAGGTTTATGCCATGTTAAGTAGAACATTTGTAAAGAAAAATGAGAGGTTGTATCATACAGCATTCTATAGGGTTTCCCCAAAAATGTACACACACCCTTTGAATAATCAGAAAGACATTGTTTATTAAAATACATTTCATTTTCAGAATTGAGCTCTCAGCTGTTAAAGTGTGTATACATTTTGGGGAGACACCCAGTATTTTGTTCTCAAACTTATTCTGCTCTTGGAAGTAGTGAGTAAACAGGAATTATGAAGGACTCAGCAAGTTAATGCCACAGTTAGAGTGACTCTAGTAAAGGAAACTGTCAGATGTTAGCATTATAGCAAATAGTTTGGGGTGCTTGACGACTGGGAAATACCAAAGCCCTTTGCCACGGGCCAATAAACCTTATCCTACCAGCAGGTGTGATGTAGATCAGAACCAGGCCGGGGAGTCACCAGGCTCCCCTCCTACCCCAGCTGGTTGGTGTATGAGATGTAGGTATTAACAGGTCTGGTGTCAGCTTGCTTCATTCTGAGCGTGTGGCTTCCGTGTTCACAGCTGCACTCTCAGGCCAGTGGGAACACCACCAGTTCAACTCCACCAAGGAAAGCCCAGGCTTCGGGCCCCAAGGTTAGGAAAAGTGTGAGCAGCCGCGTCCACGAAGCGGTGACTGCCATTGCACTGTGCCACAACGTGACGCCGGTGTACGAGTCTCGCGCCAGCACGACCGGGGAGACCGAGTACGCGGAGGTGGACCAGGATTTCAGCGACGAGAACCGCACCTACCAGGCCTCCAGCCCCGACGAGGTCAGTCTGCCTCTCAAGGAAGTTGTTTCCCTGTGTTAGTCCTCAGAGCACAAAGCGGTGTCTGCCGGTGTGTTTCATTGGGGCCCACAGGCTCTCTCACTCCTGCTTTCCTGAAACTACTCTGTTCCACTTGTCTTAGGCTAACTCTGCTATGTAAACTTTAAAGGCTGAAGTCTGGTGCACTGAGTGCATAGAAAGTAAAATGAAAGCGCAGTCGTGTGTCTTCGCCGTCCTGATACAATGGTCCTCCTTGTCTGTTGACTTTCTTCACGAGACCCCAGGGAATGTTTGTGCAGTACAGTCGCCGTGTGGAGCAGAGGAGCATGCCCTTTGCTGCTTTTTCTCCTACAAACTCAAATGTTACATGTGGACACAGTAGCCATAGAGGTAACCAGTCACCAGCTTATCTCTAATTTTAGAAAAAGGTCAGATGAACAGGGAATCAGATGGCTCACTCTCCCATCCGCTCCTGGACTCAGAAAGGACCTTGGAAAGCTGAGTAGCAAGTGCCCACCCAGCACTGAGCCCTCTGGCCGTGTGCCCGCTAAGCCCTGGCTCTGGGCGGCTGGTACACCAGAGCACACTCGGCCACAGCTGTGGTCTCAGAGCAAGACCCAGGGCTCTGTCCTGCTGTCGTTGGCCTGTGGCGATGCTACTACAAGTGAGCACTGACACAGCCACAGACTCCCACGTCTCAGCACAGTGAGCTCTGTGAATTGGCTACCTCTCGGCAAGCTTTCCTACCGCCAGCCTGTTGCTTCCCTTCTGGGGAAGCCAGTGGCCTCACCTGTCTCTGGTCTCCCCCAGGTGGCCCTGGTGCAGTGGACGGAGAGCGTCGGCCTCACCCTGGTCAACAGAGACCTCACATCCATGCAGCTGAGGACGCCTGGTGGCCAGATCCTGACCTACTGCGTGCTGCAGATGTTCCCTTTCACGTCCGAGGGCAAGCGCATGGGCATCATCGTCAGGGTAGGCGCACTCCTCCCCCAGTGACTGGCACAGAGAAAGGGGTGACTTCAGGTAGCTCTCCTGAGACCAAGGCAGGGCCGGTGAAAGGTGTCATGTCCTCGCTCTGTTTTGTTTTCAACAGCGGGAGCCTGCTTTAACTAAAGCAAGAATGACTTATGACCATAATTTGCTGAAATACACCCCCGTTGAATTTTTAACAAATGCCAAAACTGCATATTGGAAGTTGGCTACACAGGAAGCTTATTCAACCAGACGATGAAAAGTGGAGAGAATTAAGTCCAGGGCTTATGTCCAGTAACTAATTTTACTCCGAGTACAGTGTAGCATCTCAAGGTCTGCAGCCGTGGTCTCGGCCTCTGCGCCCGGGCCTGGGCACGCAGTCTGTGGGAAGGGGTGTGGTGGGCGCAGCACAGGGCACCGCGGGGAGACGCTGCTCCGAGCCTGTGGGGGAGCAGCGTGCCTAAGCTGCCTGTTTGTTCTCCTTCCTCGCAGGACGAGTCCACGGCTGAAATCACCTTCTACATGAAAGGTGCCGACGCCGTCATGTCCACCATCGTCCAGTACAACGACTGGCTGGAGGAGGAGGTAACGGCGGCGCTGGCGGGGAACGAGCTCAGCGAGCAGACAGCAGACTGTCCTCTCCCAGCCGGTCGACCTGGGACCCGGGAGTAAATTGCGATGCTGGGTTTCAAACCCGACGCAGTAGTTTTGCAAGATGGCGTTTCCCTCTGTGCTGTCTCGGGTGACGGCAGCGCCTCTCAGCCCGCGGGGCGGCCCGGTGGTGGGCTCTGTGTGCATGCGTCACACGCACAGGCCGGCCCCGGGAAGATGAGGGGAAACGCAGAAGATTATGAAATAATAATGAATATGTAGCCGAAGTTATATTTTAATATAGTCATTTTGTAACCTGAGTTATTTGCAGGGGGTTTTCATTAGAATCTTAATCTAATTCTGATTCGTACGTAGGATTCACTTTAAAAATATAAAGAAAGATGTAAACATAACCAGTGCTCTATTCATCACATTCTCCCTCACCAAATGTGATTTGTATTTGGCCCCATGAGGTTATAGTGTTTGTCGTTTACACTTATCTATTAATAAGAAGCTGGATTTGAAAGTAAAACCAAGGCCCTTCCGTTACAAACGCAGGCCTGTTGGCGAGTTGCTTCTGCTCCAGCATCTCCCCACCACGGGCTCAGAGGGGGCCTGTCGGCGCCGGGCCACCCCCACAGCAGTATTGGCAACGTGAATCAATAGCTCCTCAGGACTGGGATTCAGTCGGGGATAGGAATACATTAAATTCCCCAAAGACCTAGTAAAATGCCATAAAAATTACTTTTGGTCATAATGATGTGCAATTAATTATAAAATACTTGTTTACTTTATTTAGCTTTATGAGGTCAAGTCAATACATGTCTTGCACCAGACAGATAATGGCAGCTTGTCTTTCCCAGAGAGAACGTTATTAACGGCCCTGTGCCTTGTCTCCTCAGCGTCCCCGTCCTCCCCTATGAATCTCTGCCCCCCGCCCCGCAGCCTGAGGCCTCACTGGGGGGATCAGCCGGCTGGGAGCCGGGTCCCTGTGGGCTGGTCAGGCTCCTGTCTCAGACAAGCCCCAGGCTGGAGTCTTGCCTATAAACTTGTGCTTTCTGAATATTAAAAACTAGTGGAAAACAACGGGAAACACCAACACTTTTAACTTGTCATGTAAAGGAAAGGGCCAGTTTTACCCACCCTGCAGCGGAGTCTGCACAGACCCAGAACCATGTCCCGGACGTAGCGCAGCTGACAATGGCCGTTCACCCCCAGGAGTTAGAACTGGGCAGTAGGAGCGCTGGGGCGAGGATGAGCACACCGCCACGCCCTGGGCTCCCCGTCCCCGATAGGACCTCTGTCGCTTTCCTGTCGCTCTGTCGGCCTCCCGCTGCAGGTGCGACTGTGAGCGTCAGGCTAGTGGACCGGGGAACCAGCAGGAGTGTCAGCAAACCCACTTGGCCCCCTCCCGTCACCCGTGCGGTGGGGCCGCTAGGGAGGGCATAGGATTAAGTGTCCCGGGACCGTTTCTGATAAGTCTGGTTTGAGGTGGGAAAGAACATGCGTGTTATCCGGGAGCTGCGCTGCGATGCCAGCCCTACTGTGCCCCGCGCCCCGGTACTGACACGAGAGGCCGTGACCTGCCTCCTCTCTTCCAGTGCGGAAACATGGCCCGGGAAGGCCTGCGCACCCTCGTGGTCGCGAAGAGGGCGCTTACGGAGGAGCAGTACCAGGACTTCGAGGTGAGCAGACCAGGTCTCCCCACACCACAGACAGTGTCCCTTGGGGGCTCTGTGCCCCTGTGGATGTGAGCTCTGCTCCTGGGAAACTGTGAGGCCTGTGACCACACTGGGAGCATCAGGAATCAGTCCCCACCTGTCCTGTTCCCGCCTCTCCTGCAGTCTGCGGGAGTGGGAACTGAGGGTCTCCTTAGTGCTGTGAGTTCCCATGTGTTCATAGGTCCTAAATGATAGTAGCACAGCCCGTCTCTGTCCTCAGAGCCGACACTCAGGCCATGTCACGGGCACACGGGGGACACACATGTACAAGCTGTCTGTCTAACCTACGTGCAGAGCCGCTACCTGCAGGCGAAGCTGAGTGTGCACGACCGGGCGCTGAAGGTGGCTGCGGTGGTGGAGAGCCTGGAGCGGGAGATGCAGCTGCTGTGCCTGACGGGCGTGGAGGACCGGCTGCAGGCGGACGTGCGGCCCACCCTGGAGATGCTGCGCAACGCGGGCATCAAGGTACCGGCTGTCCTTGGTCTGCTGGCGGCTTCCCTGTGACAGCCTGACCGCCATGCTGCCGTCTCCTCCTCACGGGTGCGCCTTCCGAGCACATGAGACATTAGCTCCTCCGGGGCTCCAGAAAGGTGCTTCCTCACCTGCGGCTCCCGTGAAGCCAAGGCTCCCTTACAGAATGCTGGGAAGTTACATCAGCGCCACTGCGGGGCTGGGGCTGCAATTGCGAGAAAGAAAAGAGCACAGCTGCTCCAGGAGAGAAGCTAGGGGGTAGCTGGACAGCAAGACGGCGGAGGGTCAGAGGCAGCGCTGCGCCCGCCCCTCTCAGCCGCGTCAGGGACGGACGCCCAGCGTGCCAGGAGGGCCACTCAGCCTCAGGCATGCAGTGATCTGGGCCTGGCTGTGGGGGAAGGGGGGCAGTTGTTAGAGGAGATGCCCCACCAACTGTGCTGTGACTTGTCTCTTCCTTACCTGTCTGTGCGAGATCAGCCGTGGGTTAGGGTGGTCAGCGCTCCATATAAAGATTTGGGAACTTGTATCAGTTCCCGGCTGAACTTGGTAAGACTTTCTAGGGTTCTCTTTCGCCTTACATTTCCTGTTGAGACACCCCCTTATTCCCTTCCCTGACATGGGGACTGATTTCACACGCCCCCTGAAACCCCGGGTGCTACTTCAACAGGTCCTCTGCCAGGGCTGCTCGCGGGCCTGCAGTGTGGCCGTTCATGTTCCCTGCGACTCTCATTCCCAACTGTCATCACTGTGTGTCGGAGCCCAGGTCCAGGCTCAGTACAGGGAACACAAGCCTGTGAGAGAAAAAGCACACTGCTCAGACCTGAGAAGAGCCACAGCCCATCACACCCACAGAATCAGCATGTGTGACGTTTCTGTTTCCTGCTCCCAAAAATGCATGTTTCTATGTGACGCATGAGACACCTGGAAAGTCCAGATGATGGGAAGTCACTGGGAGTTTGTTCTAAAAATGTATAGACAGACCTTTGGTTATGCATTTAATGTCCTGGTTTTCTCTCATTACTCTAGGGAGAGTTATATACATGGTCCGTGCGTTGTGTATGATTCACAGTAAAAGTAATATGACTTAACATTTTATCTGATACAGCTTTCAGCTTAGTTGCACCTGTCCACCTATTTCAAACCCTCGTTTCCAGCTGAAAGCCATCTGGCTGGAATAGAGTCTCAAGACCCTCCCAGCTCTTGGTCAATGACCGTGCGGTGCCCAGGCGTTGGTGTGCCACCCGAGGCTGTGTGAACGCTGCCTTTCGACATGCACGGCAGCCTCAGCCATGCGATTCCTAAGCCCCGTCACTCACGTGCCTCCAGGTCTCAGCTCTGAGCCTCAGCATCGCTTAGCTGCCACTTGTTTTAGCAAAGCCAGACGACAGAGACGTTTTGGTTGTGGAAATCATGACATGTACCACCGTACCCATGTTAAGTGCACACCCCACTGGCACGAGTGTGTTCACACTGTCGTGCAGCTGACACCACCCTCCAGAACTTACCACCTTGTAAGTCTAACACACTGTCCCCTCAAAACCAAGCTCCCGGCCTCGGCCCCCACCGTCCACTTCCTGTGCCACTCCAACCACTCCGGGGGCCACATGCAGGTGGAGTCGGACAGCACTTACTGTTTCGTGATGGTCTTGCTTTACTCAGCGTAGGTCCTCGGGGTCCATACACGTCACCTGGTGGATGCCGCAGGTTTGCCCATCCATTCGTCCACGATGGACGCTTAGGTTGCCTCCACGGTCAGGTGCTGTGAATGGTGGTGCTGTGAACATGGAGGCAGATATCCTGTGAGGAGACACTTTTAAGAGATGAAGTGTGATGTGTTGAAGCTCACCAGGTAAACTGTCTCCTAGGTATGGATGCTAACAGGCGATAAGCTCGAGACAGCCACCTGCATCGCCAAGAGCTCACACTTGGTGTCGAGAACACAGGACATTCACGTCTTCAGACCCGTAAGTCTATGTCGAAATCTTGAATTTTAAATGTTGCACCTCACAATTAAAATCTAGTGGTTCTGTGAGAATGTATATGCCGTTACTAATTGTTGAATATCAGATTTAAAAGACAAACACTGTAATTTTCTTACTCAATTCATAAAAACAATAAAAATAGATTTCTACTAGTTGCATCAACTGTGATCAAAAGCTGCTTTTTGATAGAAACAGGTTCTGTCTAAATTTAAAAGTACTTTTCTATTGTTGCATTAGAATTATTTATACAGCTAAGTATCTGCTTTAAAGTAGACATTCTGCAGTCATCTCTGCTCAGTCTGTGAAGGTGCACATCGCTACCAATTGCATCGTCGAAGTGACTCACAGCACACATGGTGCAGAGCTGCCCCTGTGGGACCAGCTCTGATGCAGAGTTGGATGTGTCTAATCTGCCCCCCTTCCCAGAGTAAACACTCTTCCTTAATTAGCTCAAAGAAAATTAATAGAAATTATCTAAATTTATGTGTTTACTGTATGTATTAGTTATTTTTAATTTAATTCAAACAAAAGATAAAAGTTTCTTGGGGCGTGATTGATGTTGGGTGAACAGACAGTGTGTGTCTGAGTCTGCTCTAAATGCAGCGCTCGCACCTACAGAAATAGTTATTTCAATATAATTTACATGTAAATGCAGTTTATTTAGAAGCATCGGCATCGCAAATTAGGCCCTGCAGACGACTATTTGCAATTAAATTATTAATGGTTCTGATAAAACTTCAGATCAATTTTTGTTGACTTTTCAGTGTTATAGCCCCACAAATTAAAATCTCCACCATAAAACCTACCTACTTAAAGATGAGTCTGGGATTAATTTGGACCGCACGAAACTTTTAATTTACTTCAGTCCTGTAATATATCATTTCTTTTATGCGCCATAAAATCTGCACAGAAAGAATATCAAAAACCAGTGTGTTGGTTTCTGAAGTGTTTTCATTCTAAAATTAATGGCATTTCAACATTATGACTTGATTTTACTCCGTTAAATCCTTTCCTTCTCCATGTACTTGGCGTGAACTAATGGGACAGGTTGGAAGCTGTGGCACAGACAGGAGTGACTTTACTAAATTGAAAGCATGGGCCTCGGGCTATCCTGAAAACCTTGACCTCGGGTCACCCATGTGCTGAGCAGCTGGCTCCCTGGGCTGCTCTGGCTGCACTGGATGGAGTCCCCGTATGGACGGACGCACCACAGACTTAATAGTGGTTATCCTGGCGTCCTGTGGGCCTGTCCTGACAGGTGAGGCAGTTCGCGCTCCTGGTGGCCATTCCCTTCTTCTGGATAAGCCAGCTTCTTCCATCCACTGTGTTGTGGTAACTGCGGGGCTTGGGTTGCACTTACCACGGGCCAGGAAGCGTCAGGGTTAGACAAGGACGGGCGTGTGCCCAGCGCCGCAGGAGAAACTGGGCAGGGCCGTTTCTCACAGGACTCCGTGTGTGGAGCGCTTTTGGGTTCTAGGTAACGTGCCTAAGGATGTCGCTGTGGCTCATAATAAGGGCTTGTGTGTCGGTGCTTCTAGCCTGCACACGCTGTAACCTGGGCTTCCTCCCCTTCCTGCAGGTGGCCAGTCGAGGGGAGGCCCATCTGGAGCTGAACGCCTTCCGAAGGAAGCATGACTGTGCGCTGGTCATATCCGGGGACTCCCTGGAGGTGAGCCTGGGCCCTAGCCCTGCTGTCTGCCTGTGGCCACCTGTCCCTCTGGCCCAGCATGTATCTGCTTATCCCGCTTGCGGACCAGGGGCTCCGGAGTGGAACATGGCCCAGGCATCTCTGGCGCCCCTGACTTAGTAGCTCCCGGCGTCGCCTTGACGCATGCGCCTGGTGAACGGTTAGCGCCTGAGCAAGGGCCCTGCACGCCCCGGGCGGCACCGCGGCGGGGCAGTGACCCCGTCTGTGTTGCAGGTGTGTCTGCGGTACTACGAGCATGAGCTCGTGGAGCTGGCCTGCCAGTGCCCGGCCGTGGTGTGCTGCCGCTGCTCGCCCACGCAGAAGGCCCGCATCGTGAAGCTGCTGCAGCAGCACACGCGCAAGCGCACCTGCGCCATAGGTGAGCACCGCCCACGCCCCGCCCCGTGCGGGCACCTGCACCACAGGTGCGCTCTCTGTGCAGCACCCCAGGCCACGCCCCCACAGGCCTCGTAGTGTAATTTAAGGGAAGCTGGTACCTTAAAGTTTACAGGCAAAATTCTGTTCAACCTCCAAAACCAGGCTGATTTCCTGTCTATTACGCGACGTTCTAACAACTTCTGCTGCTGAAAGAGAAAACAGGGCCATGTGTCGGTTTTCCATTTTATCACAATCATTTGTGCTTCTCAGGTGATGGAGGAAACGACGTGAGCATGATCCAGGCCGCCGACTGTGGGATCGGGATCGAGGGCAAGGTACCTGGGTCCTGTCAGGCGTCCCTCAAGCTCACATGCAGTCAGCACAGGCTCTGGGCAGCTCTGTGCCAGGCTCCTAGTCGCACACGTGGGAAGGGGTGACTCGACCACTCTGTGATCACCTTGACGAAATGCAGGTAGAAAGCAAAGCAGTCAGTGCCGGAAACCCCCAGTGTCCCCACTGTGGCCTCTTCCTGCAGATGTCACCACGTCCCTCAGCAAACCTTCTTGCCACCCATGGGACCTGCTGCTTCTCTCTCGTATTTGGCACATGGTCATTTGTGATGTCCGTGTCTCCTGCCAACTGCACTGTGGTTTGGGGTTTGTCTTTTGTGCTCACATAATGGCCCCCCGAGAAAGACCTGACAGCTGTGTTGGCAGAGCAGTTGAGGGGCTCCCTCCCTTATGCTCAGTGGCTTTGGCAGGCAGGTGGTGTTTACATAGAACTGAGACTTAGACCATGGTCCTGAGGTTCCTGAGATCTCCGGCCAGGCCCCTGGGCAGTGCTGCCATGTTCCGCCTCTGTTAAATTTCTATGATACCGACAGGTGTCCTGGCAAGCGCCCCTTTGCAGTCATCAGCTCCCAGTGGTGGGTGCTGCCTGCCTCTCCCGGAAGGTGCCCCTGCAGCCCTTCCCCCTGCCCTGGAGGCAGATGTCTCAGCCTTCTCTCCATGGTGGCTGGGCTCTGCACGTGTGCCCCTGGGGCGCAAACCTACCATGTGGTTTGCAAGGCGCTTGTGCATTGCAGGAGGGGAAGGCAGCCTCGCTGGCGGCGGACTTCTCCATCACACAGTTCAAGCATATCGGCCGGCTGNGTGCGGGCACCTGCACCACAGGTGCGCTCTCTGTGCAGCACCCCAGGCCACGCCCCCACAGGCCTCGTAGTGTAATTTAAGGGAAGCTGGTACCTTAAAGTTTACAGGCAAAATTCTGTTCAACCTCCAAAACCAGGCTGATTTCCTGTCTATTACGCGACGTTCTAACAACTTCTGCTGCTGAAAGAGAAAACAGGGCCATGTGTCGGTTTTCCATTTTATCACAATCATTTGTGCTTCTCAGGTGATGGAGGAAACGACGTGAGCATGATCCAGGCCGCCGACTGTGGGATCGGGATCGAGGGCAAGGTACCTGGGTCCTGTCAGGCGTCCCTCAAGCTCACATGCAGTCAGCACAGGCTCTGGGCAGCTCTGTGCCAGGCTCCTAGTCGCACACGTGGGAAGGGGTGACTCGACCACTCTGTGATCACCTTGACGAAATGCAGGTAGAAAGCAAAGCAGTCAGTGCCGGAAACCCCCAGTGTCCCCACTGTGGCCTCTTCCTGCAGATGTCACCACGTCCCTCAGCAAACCTTCTTGCCACCCATGGGACCTGCTGCTTCTCTCTCGTATTTGGCACATGGTCATTTGTGATGTCCGTGTCTCCTGCCAACTGCACTGTGGTTTGGGGTTTGTCTTTTGTGCTCACATAATGGCCCCCCGAGAAAGACCTGACAGCTGTGTTGGCAGAGCAGTTGAGGGGCTCCCTCCCTTATGCTCAGTGGCTTTGGCAGGCAGGTGGTGTTTACATAGAACTGAGACTTAGACCATGGTCCTGAGGTTCCTGAGATCTCCGGCCAGGCCCCTGGGCAGTGCTGCCATGTTCCGCCTCTGTTAAATTTCTATGATACCGACAGGTGTCCTGGCAAGCGCCCCTTTGCAGTCATCAGCTCCCAGTGGTGGGTGCTGCCTGCCTCTCCCGGAAGGTGCCCCTGCAGCCCTTCCCCCTGCCCTGGAGGCAGATGTCTCAGCCTTCTCTCCATGGTGGCTGGGCTCTGCACGTGTGCCCCTGGGGCGCAAACCTACCATGTGGTTTGCAAGGCGCTTGTGCATTGCAGGAGGGGAAGGCAGCCTCGCTGGCGGCGGACTTCTCCATCACACAGTTCAAGCATATCGGCCGGCTGCTCATGGTGCATGGGCGGAGCAGCTACAAGAGGTCGGCGGCCCTGGGCCAGTTCGTCATGCACAGGGGCCTCGTCATCTCCACCATGCAGGTTCGCAGGCAGGTGGGGGGTGGGAGGTTGCTGCGGGCTCCACAGAGAGGCAAGGCCTGTCGGGAGGCCTGCAACTAACCACTGTCCTGTCCTCTCCCCAAGGCTGTGTTCTCCTCCGTCTGCTACTTCGCGTCAGTCCCACTGTATCAGGGCTTCCTCATGGTGGGGTAAGTGGCAGGCAGGAGGCTGGTGTGGAGAAGCCCACACAGCAGGTGTCTTGAGGGCCGTGCCCAGGGTTCACACAGGGTGGTGTTGGCTCCCCTGTGAGAATGTGGGGAGGACCCCGTCTGCTGTCCCTCTTGCGATTCTGCTGTTAAATTAGAATTTCTGTTTATGGCAAAGCCATAATATGTGTCAGGAACTGTGTCAGATCCAAGATGTTTGAAAGCATCCTATAGCTTCATGCGGAGGGAGCACAATGGCCCGTCACCATCCCAGGACCAAGGGGCCCTCCTGCAGCCTCTCCCCTTTCAGCTCTCTCCCGACACTCTCCTCCTGCAGCACCTCAGAGCCCACCACTCGGGCCGGGGCTTTCCCACAGCAACAGCAGTGAGCACAAGGGCTCCTGCACTGTCCTGAGGCCCCTCCCCTCCAGCATCCCCATGTCACAGGTGAGAACAGACCTAGAGAGCCCCGAACTTCCTCAAGGCCACAGAGCTGGTAGGAGGCACAGCTGGGACAGCTCAGACAGGTGACATGCACTGCCCTCCGGGCCGCCTCTCCCACAGCAGTCAGCATGGAGCAACACACTGCATTTCCTCAGGCTGACAGCAACACAGGTCTTGCACTCCTGTCCTTAGTGTCTCAGGAGGAGGGCAGAGGGCAGGGCCGAAACAGGACTCAAGGAAATAATGTCCAGAAACTTGCCAGATTTTGCAAAAGACAAACCTACGGATTCAAGAAGGTAAACAAACCCCAAGCAGCCTAAATCTAAAGAAATACACACTTGGTCACATCATCAAACTCATGAGAATTAAAGGCAAATACCTGCAACAGGTGACAGAAGACGCCTCCCTGGGAGGAACAGTCCCAGTGACGGGCGCCCCATCAGGAGACGCCTGAAGACACCTGGAGGAGACACCTTTAGAGTGAAGAAAGCTCTGAGGAACGAGGGAGATGTGTACACCCACGTGCCCAGGGGTTTATAATGACCTCCCAGCCAAGAACAGTCCAACTCAAGGTGGACCCGACTGAGCGGCATTCCTCCCAGAATACGTGGAGAGGTGCCTGGCGGTGCCTGTCAGGGAAGCAGATTTAAAACACATGAGACACCGCTGCTCACCATCTGAGCGGCTGGGGAAACTGACAGCGCCTGCTGTGGTGCGAACATGGAGACTGGATCCTCCCACCGCTGGTGGGAACATGAACGGACAGCCACGTGGAGCACGGGTGGCAGGTTCCTAAAAGACCAAGGAGACTGAAATAAATGAAAATTTATTTTTACAAAAAAAGTCTGTGTAGTAAATGTCTATGGCAGCTCTAGTTGTACTAACCAGAAACTGGGAATGACCCGGATGTACTTCAGTGAACGGCGGAGCCACAGAGACTGGTACATTCACAGCCACGGACACTCAAGAGGGGAGAAGTGTTAGTACAACACCTGACGCCTCACCAGGGAATCAGGCAGAGTGACAGTGCCCCCAAGGCAGCCAGCAACCTTGAAGTGAACAGATCAGGGCCTGGGGCTGAAGAGAAATGGTGGCAGGGGGGCCTGGGTGAGGGATGCCCCATGTCTGCACTGTGTGTCCCTGTCCCCATCCTGGCTGTGAGCTGGACTGCATTTGGGGAGATGCTACCTCTGGGGGCAGCTACTTAAAGGGCCCAAGTTCTCTGTGTGTTATTCTCTGATCATTGCACGTGGGCCCTGCCATCTGTGTGCATGTGTGGCCTGTAGACTGTGGTGCTGTGTGTGTGTGGCTTGTGGACTGTGGTGCTGTGTGTGGGCCTTAGAGACTGTGGTGCTGTGTGTGGCTTGTGGACCGTAGTGCTGTGTGTGTGTGTGTGTGTGTGTGTGTGTGTGTGTGTNGACGGGCGCCCCATCAGGAGACGCCTGAAGACACCTGGAGGAGACACCTTTAGAGTGAAGAAAGCTCTGAGGAACGAGGGAGATGTGTACACCCACGTGCCCAGGGGTTTATAATGACCTCCCAGCCAAGAACAGTCCAACTCAAGGTGGACCCGACTGAGCGGCATTCCTCCCAGAATACGTGGAGAGGTGCCTGGCGGTGCCTGTCAGGGAAGCAGATTTAAAACACATGAGACACCGCTGCTCACCATCTGAGCGGCTGGGGAAACTGACAGCGCCTGCTGTGGTGCGAACATGGAGACTGGATCCTCCCACCGCTGGTGGGAACATGAACGGACAGCCACGTGGAGCACGGGTGGCAGGTTCCTAAAAGACCAAGGAGACTGAAATAAATGAAAATTTATTTTTACAAAAAAAGTCTGTGTAGTAAATGTCTATGGCAGCTCTAGTTGTACTAACCAGAAACTGGGAATGACCCGGATGTACTTCAGTGAACGGCGGAGCCACAGAGACTGGTACATTCACAGCCACGGACACTCAAGAGGGGAGAAGTGTTAGTACAACACCTGACGCCTCACCAGGGAATCAGGCAGAGTGACAGTGCCCCCAAGGCAGCCAGCAACCTTGAAGTGAACAGATCAGGGCCTGGGGCTGAAGAGAAATGGTGGCAGGGGGGCCTGGGTGAGGGATGCCCCATGTCTGCACTGTGTGTCCCTGTCCCCATCCTGGCTGTGAGCTGGACTGCATTTGGGGAGATGCTACCTCTGGGGGCAGCTACTTAAAGGGCCCAAGTTCTCTGTGTGTTATTCTCTGATCATTGCACGTGGGCCCTGCCATCTGTGTGCATGTGTGGCCTGTAGACTGTGGTGCTGTGTGTGTGTGGCTTGTGGACTGTGGTGCTGTGTGTGGGCCTTAGAGACTGTGGTGCTGTGTGTGGCTTGTGGACCGTAGTGCTGTGTGTGTGTGTGTGTGTGTGTGTGTGTGTGTGTGTGTAGCTTGTGGACCATGGTGCTGGGTGGTGGGATGGGCATTGAGTTTTAGTGCTACCTTGTGTTTGTTCTGCTTAGTTTTGCACCGTTAGCCTCTGGCAGAGGTGTGTTCCTAGTCGTGCAGGATGTTGCTCACGCTGACCCGACTCTCCTCTGGCTCTCAGGTATGCAACCATCTACACCATGTTCCCCGTGTTCTCGCTGGTGCTGGACCAGGATGTGAAACCGGACATGGCCATGCTGTACCCCGAGCTCTACAAGGACCTCACCAAGGTAGGCTGAGACCAGGCCATCTCCCTCCTCACACTCCAGTGTTTTACAGGAACGCTCACCATGAGGAAAGGCGCCATTCTTGAGGCAGTTTCCCCACAGGTCCTGTCCTTCCAGACATTTCCATTTCTTCTGGTTAGTTTTGGTCTTTTTCTTTTAAGTTAAACTTCAAAAGGGGGAACATAACCAGCAAAACCCAGTAATCTCTCAGACACTGGTGATGATACTCTGATGTCACAGTGGAGTTCTAACTCTGAGGACACGCTCACCCCCACTGCTGGAAGGAGCTCCTTTCTCAGAGCCCTGGCTCCTCCTGGCAACCGCTCACACCTGTCTGTCGGGCACGGCAGGCGCCCCAGCAGTCAGGGTCCCAGGAGCCCTCTGCACCAACCTGTCCCCAGTGGGGCTGCAAGAGCACGTCTGTGTGAGCGACATGTGTTTCTGTCCCCAAGACCCGTGTGCCATGGTTGTGATGATGCTGCCGAGAAAAAGGCCACCCCTGAAACTATGCAGAAGAGTCACTCATTTACCTAAAACTGCTGTAAGGTTAAAATATTCCTGCAGCATCAGATTTTCTATGAAAGCATCTTATATAGCACAGAAAACAGCTGCGTGGGTGGGAGACCCCCAGCTCTCCAAACACAAGTCGTGGTGACTTTGGAATCTTCCAGAAGTCTTGCTTTTCCTGAACCAACCCTGAAGACAAAGTCCACTGACCCCCGAATAAATTTAGGTTTGCGGTTGCTAACCTGAAATCCCCCGCTCAGGTTTCTCAGGCAACAGCAGCCTTAGGGGCAACTGCCAAACCAGCTGCCCGCAGCCCCAAGTCACTGCAGCCAGTGACTGAGCTGACTTCGTGGAGTCACTGAAGATCTGGTGCACACAGTGCCCATGTGACAGAAATAGAGCTGGCTCACCAGCATAGTGTAAAATAACATACAATGGCAAGCGTTCAGCCAGGATGATGCTGTCGTCGTAAACATCACAAGGAGAAGGAAAGGTTCTGAATTAATCTCCAAGTGCCGCTCAGTGACATAGGACAGGATCAGGGATTCAGAACCCACAGAAGCTGTTGTGAATAACCGTGATTTTAGTAGACGGTTTCCCTGTTTCCAAGCCTGCAGGGACACTTAATGCTGCTCACAGATACTTGGGGGAAGTGAGCTTTCATGTGGAATATAAAATGAGGTAAGCCACCCAGGAAATGTGGGCAGCCGCGGCTCAGCTGAGTTGAGGTCACTGCAGATCAGCCCAGGCCAGCTGCCCAGCAATCAGCGTGGGGCTCTCAGCAGCTCCATCAGCATCTGGCAGTCACTGGAGGCAAGGCAGCAGGCATGTTGGTCTGCTCTGTTTAGGGTTTAGGTGGTGCCACCAGCTTCTCTTGATGGATATTGGAGACTCTAGTGACAGGAGTGTGTTCAAGGGCCACCAGCCCTCAGCTGAGCAGCTGACTCCTCTCATCTGTATAGTTTGTGCCACTGGCTGATACATTTAAATATGCAGGACTTCGGGGAGCCACGTTCACATGTGGGGGTGTCAGGGAACCATGTTCAAGTCTGACTAAGTTGTGTCTTGTTAAAGGTACTAGCTCACCATTTCTGTGATGCTGACCAAGGATATTTTAGTTCCCAAAGTCAGAGCACTCAGCTTCCTTGACAACAGTTTAGTCATTTTCCTCCAGGCTCCTTTCCTGTAAGATCCAGAGTCTGTACTTTTTGTCTTTATAGTACGTGTGTCTTTGTTTGTTTTGGTTTTTGTAATCCTTACCGTAGGATAATTTTTCCATTGGTTTTCAGAGAGAGAGGAAGGGAGGGGGGAGAGGGGCACATTGATTGGTTGCCTCCTGCACGTGCCCTGACCGGGCCGGGGGTGAGCCTGCATCTGAGGCTGCAGGCCAGTGCTCTACCCACTGACGGAGCAGGCCAGGGCTAGTAGGTGTGCCTTTAAAAGCCTAGTACATGTCACACCCTTGGGAAACAGTAGCAGTAAAGTGCTCAGCACTGGACTTAGTGAAAACTTTTCCTGTTGGGCTGGAGGGACGTTTTGAAGCTCTGGATGCTCAGCCAAGTTGGTCTGAATGTGGTGCTGGCGTCGCTGGCGGTAACTGGGCAGCACATGTCCAACAGTCTGTCTGTGTAGCAGGTGCAGTGAGAGTGCTCTGCGGGGGTGGTGAAGGCCTGCGAGACGAGGCTTCTGGTCCCTCAGCCCACAGGCAGCCAGGAAGGGCCAGGGGAGCGGTGGCGGCCCAGGCAGGATGGAGAGCAGGCGCCTGTGCAGTGGGCTCTGAGCAGAAGCCCGGTCACAGTGACTGTACGCCGCCGAGCACACTGAGTGCACGCCCCTCCTGGGCAGAGGGAGGAAGGCACTGTGCTTTGAAACAAAATGTGTAAAGAGTCTGTGCTCTGGGGCGAGCGGCCCAGGCATCGCCAGTCTGACTCACCGTCTGACGAGATGCCCACAGCTGTGTACACACTGCTCTGCCTCCAGGACCTCGCTCGGGACGCAGGGTCTGCTCAATGGGTAGTTGGGTGTTTGGGGAGTGAGTTGATCAATTAAACAGGGAGGTGGCTGCTCCGTCCCTTCCCAACACCACGGAGTCTCCATTCCTACAGAAAGCCATGTGACCTGACCGCAGTATTTTGGTGTCCTCTGAGGGCCTCCTCTGCTGGGTCTTAAAAATGGTGCTCTGGATCTGCATCGCGCGTGGGGCTCCAGGGCTGTGCTGGGATGGGCACTGTGCTTGCTGCTCTCCTGCCAGCAGGTGGCCCTGCTGTCCCCAGGGCCTGGGGCCAGGGCTCTGAGATAGGTCAGGGCCGAGTGGGCTGCCTCAGGAGAGTCAGTGTGGGGCAGAGCTGGCCCTTGTGCTCCTGAAATATCCCAGACTTTAGCTGTGAATTCAGTTCCCAGCTCATGGTTTTACATTCATGATAAACTGCTAACTACAGAGACATCTGGGTGTGGTGCTGTCACGATATCAAGTCGGTGATATCTGACTGTCCTTCGTAAAGCCTTTGAACCACCAGGCATTGAACAGTGGGGGCTCCTTCACCATCTTTATTTTCTGTTGAACATCCTCAACATGGTTTAACTTTCAAAATGTATATTTGTTTCCTTATATAATTTTTAAATAATAGTGATAAGGCAGGGAAAGGACATTAAAGACATAGAAATTAGAAGGAAGAAGTAAAAACTTCTGTGCTGGTGCCATAGTTGTCTGTGTAGAAAATCCCAAGTAATGCACACAAAACCTTTCGGACAAGTAGGTTCAGGAAGGTCAGGACCCGAGGAAAAGGTATCTAACCACTTCTAAATCTGTGACTAGCAGTGAGGTCTGAAAAAAAATATAACACTACTTATAATAGCACAAAATGTGAAACACTCTGATGTAACTTACAAAACGTGTAGGATTTATATGCTGAAACTAGACCACTGAGGAAGAAATTTTACGAAGGTGTAAGTGAATGTTCACAGGTTGGAAGAGTCAATGTTAAAGGACCTTGACCAGCAGATTCTAAAATTCACTTGGACGTTCAAGGGACTAGAACCCCAAACAGTCCTGAAGACAAAAAACGAGGTGGGATGACTTTCTGTAAAACAGGAAGCTGTGAACAGTCCTGTGGATCAGTGGCCTGGAATTGAGAGCCCAGAAATACAACCAAATGCATCCGCCTGTCTGACAAACATGAGAGGAACAGTAGAGGAAGGATTATCTTGTCCACAGTGGATGTTCCCACAACTGGTCACCCACAGGCAGGAGTGGAGCCTCCACCCACGCCCACGCCTTCCACGGAGATTTCCTCAGGATGGGTCATGACCTGCTGTAAAAAGTGAGACCAGACCTTCCAGAGAAAATGGCACAACCCCAGCTCAGGCAGAACTTTTAGACAGAGGGCCAGAAGCAGGATCCCAAGAGGCAGAAATGAATCGACTTTATCGTCATTAACACTCTGTTCTGTGAATGGTCCCATTCAGGAAGCAAAAAGACAAGCCATGGACTGTAGGTGTCTGCAGGCCGCACCCTGATGGAGGACTCGCACCAGGAAACAGAGAATCTCAAAGAGAAAGCAACCCGGTCTCCTGTGCACTTAGAAACTGGCAGTCGGAGCTGGAGAAGGGACAGTGAGGGCCCGCTGTGCCCATGAGGCTCGGGCAGAAGGAAACAGGATGCGCACACCTATGGGTGTGCGGGAGCCGAGGGCCCACCACCAGCCGGGAGCGCGCCCTCACCCAAGTCCAGGAAGTGGAGGTGCTCAAACCACCAGTGGGGCAGTGATGGCAGGAACCACCCGAGAGCTCCCAGCGACCAGCACTAGAGCTGCCTGTGCCCTGCGGGAGTTCCCAGTGGGAACTTTAAGAAACCGAACCATTGGGACGGAACAGAAGCCACAGTGTGTGACACTTAGGAGCGTCATCCTGCCTGCCTG